TTTCTTTTTTTTTTTTTCCAGAAGGTTTATTGTCAGTGATCATGAAAAGGTTTTGGGAGACAGTGTGCAAGCTTTCATTTTTTCTCTTTTCATGCTTTCAATCAAAATTTTAAAACCATTTGAAGTTAAACCCCAATAATAGTAGATATTTTATTTCCCAATCAGTTGTATCTACCAAATGTCTTTTGATATGACAATGGCTGAAAATTCTTTGACAGGTTTTGCAACTCAGGTTCTTTCTCAAAGAATCTTATTTACCTTCCATAGCTGCTTTGTTTATTGAAAGCAAAATTTTCTTAGTTTTCTTGAACCCCAGTGTTCCTGCCATTCTGGATTTCTCTGTGCTGTGGCGTGGGGCCCTTTTCGGGGGTGGGATTCCCTGGTACAGAGCCTGCTAATACATAAGGGTATGGTGCTTCCATTGAGTCTGGCATCAATCAGCAGGCACGCTTGCACTGAGTAGTACTAATCTCAGCTTGCCCAAGCTACTGTAATTGTTGTTTCTTTTAAAAGCATCATCTTTTTTTGGTTTCCTGGCCTAAAATTTCAGAAGCAGGAAGTGTGGAGGTGGTAGGGGGTGGGTAAACCTGATTGTCCTGGCTTGAAGTAATGGCAAGAATAATAGGCTTGTCAAGTTGATCCCAGCTGTTGTTGCCTTCTACTTACCAGCCTCTCTGCTGAACCAATTGGAATTTGTGGGGACTCCTCTGAACGGCCTTTCTGAGTCCTCACCTTCAGGATACTGCTAGATGTACCTAAAAGTATCTCTCATTCCCAGCAGGGATGGTTTTGATTCTTGGTCTTCCTGAGAGCCATAGGCCTGGGATTGGCCACTTGGGTCCAAGCACCATCTCTAGTTTGTCATCATTGGGCTACTCTGAGGAGTAGGACTCTCAGCTGTTAGGGTGATGCCAGAAGCCAGGCATGGTGGCTCAGGCCTGTAATCCCAGCACTTTGGGAGGCCAAGGCGGGCAGATTGCTTGAGCCTAGGAGTTCGAGACTAGCCTGGGCAAAGACGCAAAACCACATCTCTACTAAAAATACAAAAATTAGCTGAGTACGGTGGCACACACCTGTGGTCCAAGCTACTCAGGAGGCTGAGATGGGAGGATTGCTTGAGTCTGGGAGGTCAAAGCTACAGTGAGCTGAGATTGGGCCACTGTACTCCAGCCTGGGTGACAGAAAGAGATCCTGTCTAAAAAATAACCAAAAAACACACAAAAAAGTGATGCTAGAGAGCCCTTCGCAGAGAATAGATTTCCTCAAGTGGGAATGTGGTGGTGGTGCTTCCGGAAATGGAAATCAACAGCCCTTTGTCGAGGGGCTTTTGCAACAGAATACATATATGAACCGTAAAGAAGCCCTGTTTCCCTCCCTGGGTTCTCTTCATACGAGAAATGGTAGTTAGCTCCATTGTTTCCTCTGAATATTTTCCTTTGTTTTCTTTCTTGAAGGACTGCCACCAACTCCCGTCCAGCTGCTCTATCCAGTGTCCCGATTCAGCAATGTCAAATCCCTCCAGCACCTTTGCAGATTCCGGATACGACAGCTCGTCAGGATAGATCACATCCCAGATCTCCCACTGCCTAAGTACAATGGGGCTGCTAGGGTTGGGACAGGAAGGAGTAGGGGGGTTGTGGGGAGGTGACAAATGTCAGTGAGGCCTGCAGGCTACCTTCACAGGCAGAGTCTGGCATAAATTATTTGCAGACATCATTCTTTCACATTTCCTGTGTCTTAGCACCTAACTCTAGAACTGTCACATTGCAGCCAAAAGGGAGGAATGTGTGTGTGTCAGCCTCCCTTCTGCAGTCTCTATGAAGAATAGAGTAGAAGCGGTAAGAGTGAAGGAGATAGAACTATAATAATTGAGAAAATGGGGCCGGGCGCGGTGGCTCACGCCTGTAATCCCAGCACTTTGGGAGGCCGAGGCGGGTGGATCATGAGGTCAAGAGATCGAGACCATCCTGGTCAACATGGTGAAACCCCGTCTCTACTAAAAAAACTACAAAAAATTAGCTGGGCATGGTGACGCGTGCCTGTAATCCCAGCTACTTAGGAGGCTGAGGCAGGAGAATTGCCTGAACCCAGGAGGCGGAGGTTGCGGTGAGCCGAGATCGCGCCATTGCACTCCAGCCTGGGTAACAGGAGTGAAACTCCGTCTCAAAAAAAAAAATAATTGAGAAAATGGGAATTTTGTTAGGTCTCAACCATGTAGGAAATGAAGAGTTGAGCAAAGGAGTTACTTCTTTTATGTTTTGTATAAAAACTCTTTATGTATATCCCTCATTTGTTTTTCACAGACCTCTGATTTCTTATATCCGAAAGTTCTACTACTATGATCCTCAGGAAGAGGTATACCTGTCTCTAAAGGAAGCGCAGCTCATTTCCAAACAGAAGCAAGAGGTGGAACCCTCCACGTAGCGAGGGGCTCCCTGCTGGGCGCCACCAAGGGTATGAACTCTCTGCCTCACTGCCCAGCCATGTTTCTTCCTGGGCAGTCATCATCATGCCTTGAGCCTTGGGCCCCCTCCCCACAACTCCCTACATGGATAGCCCTGATCTAGGCATTTGGCCATAGAATGGCAATATCTGACCATGGAGTCCCCAAGGGCACCCACCACATTTGGGAGAAAAGCAGACAGACGTGAAAGATGTGAAAGCAGATTGCCAGGAAATGTGCAAGCTAATCGCTGAATGTGAGTAAGGAGGGGGACAGCCAAGTGTAGCTAAGAGTGCAGCCTCTGTCAAGGAGAGGGTAATTGAAAAAAATAAAGAGTGCAGCCTCCTCTCACACAGACTTGAGCTGATCTCCCCAATACTGCACAAATGGCATATAAAGCAGGAAGCTAAAGGGAAAGGAAACTTCATCAAAGAGGACGCAAACATACCTTTAATTGCAGCAGGCATACACTTCAGTGAGACTCCATCATGTCCCACAGCCTGGAATATGGGGATGAGGAAAAAAACCAGCCTAGTCCTCTTTTTAGAGTTCCATTTGGACCATTACAAATTAACTAAGGAATTCATTTATCTAAGAAGCTCTTCTCCCATCATTACGCAGTTCTCCTCATTTATTTTCTCATAAAATATCTTGGAATACTGGTTTGTGCAGATGAATTCCAATTAGTCTTTTAAATTGCACTAAAGTAAGCATTGTGGGGCCAGGTTCCTGAGTAGGGAACACAATTGCCAGGGAACCATGACTTTGGTGGTGGTGGTGACGAGCAAGATTGACTGCCAGTGTGCAGTGACTGCTTTCTTCTGGTGTGGAGTATCATTTTTAAGCACTGAATACTTCTGCATCTCTTCCATGTTCCTTAGTCCCACCCTACACACAGAATAAAGGAAAAAATCCCATGGGAGCAGTGGCCTTCAAGTGAAAAGGAACTTTAGGCCGGGCGCGGTGGCTCACGCCTGTAATCCAAGCACTTTGGAGGCCAAGGCGGGTGGATCACCTGAGGTCGGGAGTTCAAGACCAGCCTGACCAACATGGTGAAAACCCGTCTTTAAAAAAAAAAAAAAAGAAAAGGAACTTTAATCTCTCCACCCTCTCTGCTCTTTTCCTAATGGGAGAGAGTGACAACTAGGGTTTAGGTCCCATGGGTTTTCTTTAGCCATGGCAAAGGTGAATCTAGCTTCGTGTCTCTTCTTGGCTCTGGAAGTCCCCGATCCTGTGCTATTGGGGGAAAGCTTGTGAGCTAGGCTTATGAGGATTAACAATGTGAGAAGAAATGAAGAGGAGAGATTAAGAAATGGTAACTCGGGAGGCTACACAGTTTCAATTTAAAGGATCCTGGAGTAGATGTACAGTCTCATCATTTCTTCAATTATATGCAGGTTGTATGCCTTGGAAGTGACTAAACATCTAATGTCTAGTGTCTGTGGATTTCTCTGCATGATGGCTTTGCAGTTGAGATTAGGGTGAGAAGTAGGGAGAGCACTAGGGAGGTCCATCTACCTGACTACCCTTGAAGAGTCATTAGGCCTTTCAGTTCGAGCACCACTTCTGTGGGTGCAGTGCTGTGGGAAGAACCAACATAAACAGGGAGCGCGTTCAGAGAAAGATCTCATGGGGTTGGAGCGCTCAAACATCATCATATGAAGAATAAATAAAGGGCCTAGAAAGAAATGTGATTAACCTGGAGCATGGAGGTTTTAGGGATGGTTAGCTGAAAGACGCAGTTGATGGGTTTTCCCAAGGAAGAGAGTGATTAGCCTCCTATGGGTGGTTCCATAGGAACAAGTTCAGCATTACACTTATTTTTTGCCCGAGGCAACAATCCTGATGTCACAACAAAAAGGGATCCTGCGAGTTCAGTTTGAACATTTGCCAATATGTGAGTGCCCCCAACACTCAAGACAAATGGCTCCCCTTTGGCCTGTTCCTGATCATGCCACGCCCTTCCCAGCTGAGTCAGGGCCTTTATACCTCTAGGTCTCCTTGGCTCGAAATGCTCTGCTCCAAGGCCCTCCCATGTCACAGTAAAAAGAGACAGGGACAAGGACCAAAATGAATGTAAGTTAGAAGGAACTAGATTTCAGTCCAACTTTAGAAGAACGTTTTTAACAGAGAGTTCCAAAACTGGGATGTTTTTCCTCAAGAGCTTCCACTCAGCAGATACCTGTATATTTGTGTTTGTTCAGCACCCAGTTTGAATTAATTGAGAATAAAGTGCTGAGCAAAGCAAAGGCCCTGTTCTCACTCAGCTTCCTTTCTTGTAAGGAAAGACAGCAAACGTGAACATAAATGAATGGGCTAATTTCAGGTGACTGTACATGTTGTGAGGAAAATAAAACTGGGTGAAGTTTAGTGATTAGTGGTGGGGTACTCCTCAAGTTTAGATGGTCAGGGACAGCCTTGTGAGGAGGTGTCATTTTAGCTGATACCCAAATATCAAGGAGCCAGCCATGGGAGGGCCTTGGAGCAGAGCATTCTGCGCAAGGGGACCTAGAGGTATAAAGGCCCTACCTCAGCTGGGAAGGGCGTGGCATGATCAGGAACAGGCCAACGGGGAGCCATTTGTCTTGAGTGTTGGGGGCACTCACATATTGGCAAATGTTTGAACTGAACTCGCAGGATCCCTTTTTGCTGTGACATCAGGATTGATGCCTGTGGCAAAGAATAAGCCTAATGCTGAACTTGCTCCTGGTATAGACCCTAGGAGCCCTGTAAAATGGGAAAGTAACACTTCCCATTGGAAAGTTTTCTTTTTTTTTTTTTATTTGGAGTTTTGCTCTTGTTACCCAGGCTGGAGTGTAATGGCTTGATCTCGGCTCACTGCAACCTCCACCTCCCAGGTTCAAGCAATTCTCCCGCCTCAGCCTCCCAAGTGGTTGGGATTACAGGTGTGTGCACCACACCTGGCTAATTTTGTATTTTTAGTAGAGGGTTTTACCACATTCATCAGCTGGGTCTCAAACTCCTGACCTCACTCAAGTGATCCACCCACCTTGGCCTCCCATAGTGCTGGGATTACAGGCATGAGCCACTGTGCCCAGCCAGGAAGGGTCTTTAGGGTATGAAATTTGGCTGTTATGACTTCTTGTTCAAGCTGATTTTAATTTGGGACATCTGAATGGCCTGCTTGGTCTATGTGTGCTGTTACCTGGGGAATTTCATGCCAGGGGTTTGGAGTCAGGATACAGAGTAATGGCTAGAACAGTGCCTATCTCAAGTCGGAAGGTGGAAGCAACACTGGCCTTTGTGATTCTGTGTTGACCCTGTCCAGTTGACACAAGCTGCAGAAATATAGAGCTCTCTGGCCAGGTATAGTGGCTCATGTCTGTAATCCCAGCACTTTGGGAGGTTGAGGCAGGTGAATCAACAAGGTCAGGAGTTCGAAACCAGCCTGGCTAACATGGTGAAACCCCATCTCTATTATAATTACAAAAAATTAGCCAGGTGTGGTGGCACACACCTGTAGTCCCAGCTACTTGGGAGGGTGAGACAGGAGAATCGCATGAACCCAGGAAGCAGAGATTGTAATGAGCCAAGATCAAGCCCCTGCACTCCAGCCTGGACAACAGAACAAGACTCTATCTCAGAAAAAAAAAGAAAAGAAATATAGAGCTCTTTCTAGCCAGGTTCAAAAGGGGTTACTCCAGGGGCTCACTTCTGTTTTTAATCCCTAGAGCAGTTGGGCCTCAGGAAAAAAGTAGGTGGGAAATTAAGGGGTAAGGGAAAGGGAGAGAGAATTTAGGTGGTAGGATATATTTATTAGTTATTTCAGGACCTTGTTCTGTCATCCAAGTCATAGGCTGCTCAGGTCCCCCTGACAAAGGCCACTGCTGCATCCCTAGCCAGCTGTGGCACACATGGAAGCGTTCAGCATCCAGGTTCCCTTCTCCTTTTGAGGTGTGCTGCTCTGCTCCAGGAGCTGGCTATTCTTTCACTCCATGTTGGTTCTATTCTGTTGAACTGTTTTAATTTTTTTTTTTTTTTTTTTACTTAGGCATTTGGTTGCCAAGCTCCAGTTTTGAAGAACCAAATGAAGCTACCATGAAAAGAAGAGGAAAAGTGAGTGAACAGGAAAGTTGGTATTCTCTGCAGAGACTTTGGTTCCCCATGCAGCCCTGGGGCTTGGAAGAAGCTCATGATGGTACTCTGCGTGGGCTCCACCTCACACCCACCCCTGGGCATCTTAGGACTGGAGGGGCTCCTTAGAAAACTGGAAGAAGTCTCAACACTGTTTTTTTTCAGAAGTTTTGTTTTTGGTATTTGTATTTACTTGGTATGGAAAACTCACCTTGAAGGCAGCCGGGGTTTGTGCCCATTGGATTGGAAGTGGTGCAGAGGGTGAGCAGGTCCAAAGAAGAGGTGGGAGTTGGGGACAGGGGACGGCCATTCAGCTGGTGCCAAAGGCAGAATTTGAATCTTTGCTGTGGGCCTGGAAGATGGGAGGGGCCTGAGGTTTGCAACAGGACTGGGAGTTCCTGAGGGAGGGGAAATCTGCTTCTTGTTGCCATGGGCAGCTGTGGTAGGAGCAGGAGAGAAAGGAGGGTGGGTGGTCTCAAAAAGAAGATCATTGGGCAAAACCTGGCAAATGGCCTTAGCTAGGGGAAGTAGTGACTCCTGCATCCTTTTTTAAGGTTTAGGAACCTGAGTTCAGAAACACCGCACATGGAAGCTTTATTAGTTGTGATTTACTTAATTCCTTAAGTTCCATGACCTGAAGTTAACCCCTTTCTTCCTGTGCCCTCAACCCATTCTCCCTTGAGATAACCGTACATGTTAGTCTGGTCATGGTAACGGCATCCCTATTGCTTCTGCCAGCTGTCAAGGCAATCGTGTTTCTCATCACCTGGGCAGTTCAGAGCCAAATTGAATGGAGCATGCTTCCAGGTTCTTCATGGCAAACTGTACTCACGACTTAGGAGTCAGCGTTACTTCCATGTGTCTGTCAGCTTGTGAGGGGGAATGTGGAGGAAGGTGAGAAATGCAGCTGCCACAGTATGCTGTCCTAGAGGAAGCATTCAGAACGCAGCCCTGATGGGATTTCCTTAGATCAGAGGAGAGCATCGCATCTCACGTTTTTAGGTTTATCACTGTTGTCCCACTTCTGGGATGGGAGGTGGCAAGGGCTTCTTTATTTTTCTGTGTTCATTCTAGAAACCTAGACATTTCCAGATCTGATCCTACTGGTCTCCACTCACTGGAAAGTCTGTCAGGTGCCAACTTGAGAACTACCAGCCTTCCAGCTCTCAGGATGAGCAGTGAGAAAAACTCCAGTGGCCTTTAATTGTTTCTGCAGCTGGCCATGGCCAATTCATATGACATTGTGAGTTTGCTTTCTTGTAGAGCTGCTCTGGGGAGAGGTTTGCTGTTGAGATGTGACAGTAGAGCTGTTGGGTCTTTATGACTCCTTTGCGCGTGTTCTGTGAGAATCTTTTCTGGGTTTCCCATGCTTATAGCTGCGTCATCTCACAAGATAGATAACAATGTCAGGTTTGTGGCTTCCTGATGGTTTGGCCGGGGCCCCAGTGTCTTGTTAATTTATAGTACCGCCTCATCTGGGAGCACTGCCCTCCTTAGTCCTGCATGGAGTGACAAGTCTTCCTCCTTGTAGCTGAACAGGGAGGAAACTGGCATCATTACCTGACTTTGGAGGGGTGGCCCAGAAGATGAGTTTGTCAGCATAAACGCAGCCCACCTCTGATTCGTCATGTGGTACCTCTTTCCTTGGCTTCCATGGTAGTAATAACAACTAAGCAAGATTATGATTCCAGTAGTTGGCTTAGCATGTGAGTGTTGCCTCGTGAGAGTACAAGTAATATTACTCGCCATCTTGCAGGAAGTGCCACCCCAATATAGAGCCTGAAGTCTGGAATCCATTGAGATCCTTGGGTGGCTGGTACACAGCCTGGGGTCTTTTTTTGCTCCTTTTCAACCACCCATAGTTTTAAGATTACTTTTTAGTGTGTGTGTGCCTGGCTGTGGGCTAGATACTGTAGAAAACAAAAAAGGTAAAAGACATAATCTGCGGCCTAAGGGAACTTTGAGGTGACTGTGGCACATCAAGCAGAAAATCAAGGACTGTCTAAAGATGCTTACAGTAGGTAAGATCAGGATAGACCAGATGGTCTGGGAAAGTTCTGTGCCTCTGAGGCTTTGGGTTGTAGTCAAAGGCAGGAAAGTAAGATGAGAAAAACATGAACAAGAGCAAGGAAGCAGAAATCTGCATTGCGTATACTGAACAATGCATAGCCCTGTTAGAGGAACATTGCTAAAGAATCCTTTGCAGTGCAGTTGTCTAGATGGAAGGTCCACAGCCACCAGGCAGGCCTGAATGCCAAGGGGTTAGGATGGTGAGGTGGAGCCTGAAGCCTCAAGTCAGCAAGGCTCCTGTCCATTGCCAGGGCCTCCCTGTGGTCAGCTCAGGCTGTGTGAGGGAGGCAGAACCCCCGCATCCCTGGTTACTGGGGTGTCTTCTGGAGAACTCATACACTCAGGTACAAAATAAACGAACTGAGGAGCTGTGACCCAACCTAACCACCCACTTTTCTCCTCCTGGGGAGAGTTGTGTTGAACTGGGTCTGTGATCTGTCGGTGCACTGGTCCCAGCCCTGGCCACAGCCTAGTCCTTCCTCTGTGGAGCAGTCTGCAAAACAGAGCAGCGCAAGCGGAGATAGTCTTCATCAGGTGTGGGTGTTTGGTGACTGCATGGGTGGCCTTGCACAGAGCAGTTAGGGGAAGGTGAGGAGGAGGCATGGAGCTGGGCCAGCTCTTTGGGAAGTAGCCTAGTCAGAGTAAATGGAGCGGAGGAACAGGCGTGGCAGCTGGGGCAACACCTGCCCTTCACCTCCCCGACCAGGCCTACCCCTCCTTCGCCAGTGCCGTACAGATCTCATTTAAATGTATTCCTTTCTAGGGCTGGGTGTGATGACTCAGGCCTGTAATCCCAGCACTTTGGGAGGCCAAGGCGGGGAGATCATGAGGTCGGGAGTTTGAGACCAACTTGGCCAACATAGTGAAACTCTGTCTCTACTAAAATACAAAAATTAGTTGGACGTGGTGGTGTGTGCCTGTAGTCCCAGCTGCTCAGGAGACTAAGGCAGGAGGATTGCTTGAACCCAGGAAACGGAGGTTGTAGTGAGCCAAGATCATGCCACTGCACTCCAGCCGGGGTGACAGAGCGAGACTCCATCTCAAAAAAAAAAGTATTCTTTTCTGGTTGTATTTTCAAGTCACAAGCTGGAAAAGGCTCACACCTAGTGACCCACTATTGATTTATAAGTTGTGGGTGGGTGACAGCAGTGGCCTCAGGCCCTGCTTTTATAACCTTCACCTGTTTATAACTGATCTACTGTAACCTTCCTCAGGTTGAGAGTGAGCCAATGTGAGCCAGTGACAACTACTGCTACAACTTGCTGTTACTTGAAATTTGTGTGCTGTGTTGGGAGCACAGGAGTAGGCAGGTGGGGGTTTTGGTGTGGGCACTAGATGAGTGGGTGGCAGGTGGCTCTTCGGGACCATTGGTGCTGACCTTGGCCCGGTCACCTGCCTGTGCTTAGGTAACATCCTGGAACCTGAGCCATGGAGGTGGTGCCAGGACCCTGAGGAGAAAGGTGTGACCAAGGGGAGCTCTGGCATGGCTCCTGCTCCTTCCCCATCCCCACATTTCACTTGGGCTAATCATGTAAGCGCACCCTGAGGTTGGGGATGGTGTGGAGATAGCTGCGGACACCCCTGTAACACACATCCAAGAAGAATTGGGGAGTGGAGGTGATAGTTCCCAGGCCTAGGAATGAGAGGTGGGAGTAGAGCCAGAAGTGCCCTGGAATGCATGCAGCCTTGTCAGCCCTTATCCCAGGGGCCCCCAGAAAAGCATGTCCTGCATGAAGCCCTCTGCTCCCAGCAGGAAGTGGGGAGAGGAGGAGCTTTTTCCTTCAATTAGATCTTTCCCTTCCCAGCTGCCTCTCTCCCTTAGCTTTGGAGCCCTAAAGTTAGTGGACAAGCCACTAACTTTATGGTCTATGGCTGCTGGAAGGAGGTCTGAGAGAGAGAGAGAGAGAGAGAGAGAGAGAGAGAGAGTGTGTGTGTGAGAGAGAGAGAGAGAGAGTGTGTGTGTGTGTGTGTGTGTGTGTCCTCATTTGCAGAAGTCTTGCTACCAGTTGGGGTGTTAAGAGCATCTCCACTAGGGGAAGACCTGGCATTTGTTTTCCACTTTTAAGAGAATGACACGACCCCTGTCATGTAAGGGAGGAGCTATTGAGTTAGACATTTTCCCTATGGGAATCCTCGGTTTGGTTTGTGGGAAAGGAGGGAATGGATAAGTGATTTTTATCTCTAATTGTCAACACAGCTGTTCTTACACTGAATTTGTGCTATTGCATACATGTAGCCATCTTTCTTTTCACTGCAGCAGTGTTTATCAGTAGTTCAAAATGATTTATTTGCTCCTGGGGAGTAAAACCTTTTTTATTAAAAAAAGAAAAAGAAAAAAAATGAAAGAAAAGTGTGCCCCCGTCCTACGCTATGATAGCTATAGAATGCTTGGGCCACAAAGGTCAAGTCTGCACGTCCCCGTGGTAGAGCCTGCTTTGACATTGGAGCCTTCATGCGTAGCACAGAACAATCGGAGGCCTTGAGAACATGGAGAGCAAGGTCTTGGGAGCAGTGAAATGGGGACTGGATCGTAGACACAGGCGCTGGCGACCCGGGTACTGCAGTTAGGAAAGTAGAGTAATGAGCTGTACAGAAAATGTTGATTCTCTAATCTGCCAGAAAAGGACCTTTCTTTACATGCAGATTTCATATTGTCTTTGTCCTTTTCATTGCTTCTTGACCTTCCTGGTAGGTGTCGTCCAGTTTCTTCCTGTTTCCCTTCCTGTCCCCTCCACACCTACTATCCCATCCTACTCCCATCTACCTCCCGGGAAGGCATCTTTGCATGCTGAGTTTGTGACCTGCTTCACTCCCATTACATTTCTAGAGGGTTTAGAAGGGACCTGGAACCACTCCCTTTCCCTCTCCTACCCCTTCCTCTGCAACGCCAAGAGGCCTGGAGGGGCAGGCAGAAAGCAGCCAGCCGCGGCAGGAAGATGTGCATGTTTGGTTGCAGCTGGACTGCGATCGTATTTCCTCTTGGAGATCGAGTGTGAGGAGCTTAGGACACTGTTCCTCAGACTCTGGAATCATCACATACCACACTGCCCCGCTCAGAGCTTCGTCCTGAGCTCCCTAACCAGCTCAGGTGGAGCGGAAGCCTGGTCTGACACCTCCATCTCTGGTGCTCCCTTGGGTGGGGACCTGCCCCTCACTCTTAGGCCCAGAATCTTGTCCAAGGGACAGGTAGGGTCCAGGTGCCGCTTTGGGTAGCTGGCTATTGGAATGCCCAAACTGGTGCTGCCCGTGGCACAGCCTCTGCTATATGTTTTTGGTTTTTGAGAAACTCGATGAAGAGGGGTGTCATTCTGGGCTCGGGGTGGTTGCCAATTTTTCACCAGAAAGGAAGCCACCCCTTGCAACCACTCCTGTCCCCGTTAGCACCCCCCTCCCGCCCTCCTCCAAGCCAAAGTGTGGCCTGGCTTTTGTCTTCCCATTTAGTTTTCCTCTTTTGCCCTTCTTTTTTGTGCTTAATTTATTAAAATAGTTGCTGTATAATTTATTTTCATAAACTATAAAAAATACTAAATGGTTAAAATAGACTTGCAGGCCAATCTTAAATGGGGTGGGAGGGTCTGAGGGTGGGATGGGGAAAAGGAAAGATGTTTTGATATAAACAAAACAAATGCACTTTGGGTGTGTTTTGGTATTTTTCTGGGGATGGAGGGGGTGGGGTTAGGGATGTCCCTGTAGATTAGTTCCAGAATGGGGTGTCTGTGTATACTGTATTAATAGGCATGTTTCATTCTCGTGAAGGGACATTAGTAGCTGCTGCAGGTCCTGTTTGGAAAACCCATGTACAATTCCCAGTTTTTGTAAGTGTCAGTGCGAGAGACATTTGACTCTTGTGTTTCTATCTCCTTTTTATGATTGCTGTACCTACCCATGTCTTTCTGGGGAGGGGTGAAAAGAGATTTGAAATAAAAATGTTTAGAAATTATTTAATGTTTTTTGGGCTTGTGTTTTTCACTCACTCTCCCATCTCATGTGACTCCTCACATGCCCCCATAGGGTCTGATGACCCAGCCCCAGGGAATGGGTGATCCCTGTGAGGTCAGCCAAGAACTGGGCTTGTCAGCATTAGAGGCGCTGAAAAATCCCTGAGGCTGATGGCCACTGCTCAGAGCTACATTCTCCTTCCCTAGGAAGTGCAGGAGCATTCCAGAGAGCTTCTGGGGCCAAGTGCCTGTGGCCTTTTTGTCTTGGTGAGCAATAGCCTGGGGCTCTACCTAAGGAGAGTTGATGTTTTCCTAGCATTCACCCTGGCTGGCCCTGAGGCTTTTCCTAAGTTTAACCCATAGCCCTCCTGCTTAGCCCACTATTGCTTAAACTGTGGTCTTCAGAGAGAAAAGGACCAGGTTGTTCCTCTGGTTGACAACTGTGTGTACAGGCATATTCCGGAGGTTTTGTGGGTTCTGTTCCAGACCACCACGATAAAGTGAACATCACAAGCAAGTCGCACAAATTTCTTGGTTTCCCAGTTTACGCTATACTGTTGTGTCTTAATTCTGTAACCTTAAAAGAAAAGTACATAATTTAAAAATACTTTATTGCCAAAAACACTAACAATCATTTAGGCCTTCAGCAAATAGTAATCTTTTTGCTGGTGAAGGGTCTTACCGTGATGTTGATGGCTGCTGATGGATTAGAGTGGCAGTTGCTGAAGGATGGGGTGGCTGTGGCAATATCTTAAGACGGCAATAAGGTTTGCTGCATTGATTTGACTTCACAAAAGTTTTCTCTGTAGCATATGATGCTGTTTGATAGCATTTTACACACAGTATAACTCCTTTCAAAATTGGAATCAGTCCTCTCAAATCCTGCTGCTGCTTTATCAACTAGGTTTATGTAATATTCTAAGTCCTTTGTTGTCGGTTTTTTTTTTTTTTTTTTTTTTTTTGTTTTTTTTTTTTTTTTTTTTTTTAGACGGATTCTCACTCTGTCGCCAGGTGGAGTGCAGTGGCGCAATCTCGGCTCACTGGAACATCTGATTCCCTAGTTCAAGCGATTCTCCTGCCTGAGCCTCCCGAGTAGCTGGGATTACAGGCACGCGCCACCATGCCCAGCTGATTTTTGTATTTTTAGCAGAGACAGGGTTTTCACCATATTGGCCAGGATGGTCTCGATCTCCTGACCTCATGATCTGTCCACCTTGGCCTCCCAAAGTGTTGGGATTATAGACGTAAGCCACCACACCCGGCTGTTGTGGTTTCAACAA